TGAATTATTTAAATTATTTAATTCAGGCCAAATATTTCAAATAATTTAAATAGGCTGGATTTAAATTATTTAAATTATTTAAGTTATTTAATTCGGGCCAAAATAATTTAAATCCAGCCTATTTAAATTATTTACATTATTTGGCCTGAATTAAATAATTTGAATAATTTAAATAATGTAAGTAATTTAAATAATTTAAATAATTTAAATAAGCTGGATTTAAATTATATAAATTATTTAAATTATTTAATTCGGGCCAAATAATTTAAATAATGTAAATAGGCTGGATTTAAATTATTTAAATTATTTTGGCCTGAATTATATAATTCAAATAATTTACATAATGTAAATAATTTAGATAAGCTGGATTTAAATTATTTAAATTATTTAAATTATTCAATTCATATATATATTAGAGAAAGAAATAGACTCGGCAAATAATCCCTAAAGGTCTCTCGATCATATATATATATATGGGTGGTTGTCAAAATTATGGTCCCCTTCTGGATCCCTATCATAATACGGCACCTAATAGTTAGGGTACCCCAAAAAGGGACCATAATTTGGACAACCACCTATATATATATATATATCCCGGGAATCCTCATCCTTAGCTCCGGGGATTCTATCTCCTTAAACCCTAGACCTTGGACCCTAAAACTCTAGACCCTAAACCCTACCCTAAACCCTCAGCCCTAAACCCCAAACCCTAAACCCTAACCCTAACCCCTAAACCCAAAGCCCTAATCATCCGCGGCTTCGGCCTGGAGGAGTTGTTCCTAAAGCGGTCTTCCATACACAGGAGGCTGAGCTTGGCTATTGTGCCTGGCTGCGGTAGGGTTTAAAGTCGGTTGAGGGTTTAGGGTTTGGGGTTGAAAGTCCAGTGTTTAAGGCCTCCAAGATTGGGGTTTAGGGTTGTGTTTTTACGGTTTGAGGTTTGGGGTGTAGGGTTTAGGGTTTAAGGCCTCCAAGATTGCGTTTTGGGTTTAAGGTCTCCAAGATTGGGGTTTAGGGCTTAGGGTTTGGGGCCTTTAAGAAGTCCCTGCTATGTGGGTTCTGATCCTGTATTGGGCTCTACATATGGGCGCCCTTACTAAGGTTTAGGGAGGTCCGCGGGGCTTCCCACAATTTCAGGTCCCTCCGGCTGGGATGGCTCCTCTAGGAACGAAGACGAACCAAGAAGCGGTCTTTAGGTGTTTAGGGTTTAGGGGTTTAGGGTTTGGGGGTTTAGGGGTTTAGGGGTTTAGGCGGTTTAGGGGTTTAGGGTTTAGGGCATAGGTGTTGGAATATAAGGGGAACCGCGTTTCTTGCAAATAACCTCCAACAGGGAAGATGGCGACAAGTGGGTTGTTCAAAATTAGGCTCCCATGTTGGTGTATACCAAGTAAAGAGAACTACCTAAACCCTAAACCGAAAGCCCTACACAAGTAGCAACCATGATGGCCAGAGCAGAGGATGAGGAAGTATCGAATTGATGCTAGCAAGCTGCAAGCTTAAGGTGTCACCCTTGACTGATCTCTTCCCCCCACGTATCATATCCTCCCCACTAAGTCACTAAGACCGGGGGTATGTAATAGTTGGGGTGGGAACCTAAACCCTAAACCCCCTAAACCCTAAATCCTAAACCCTGCTTGTTGGTGGCCTTGCTCCACCCAGCGCCCTCCTGGCTGTCTGTACTGCCTGGCAACACAAAGGCTGAGGTACGGAATGTCGAGAGGTTCCAGGGGACCTTAAGCGCACATGTCAGGTTTAATAATAGGTATACAGGTATGATTTTACAGGCATGCCTCTATGTATAATATGATATATGTATGTACAGAATGTCGGGGGGTTCCAGGGAGGTTTAGGGTTTAGGGGAACAGCCACCTCATATAAGGGGCATTTATGACTGCTGTTAATTTTTGCGGTAACTAAAACTACATGCTGCGGAACTCTGCAGAGAATGCTAAGACAACAGTACAACAGGTGACAAGACGACCAACCCCTGCCCAGCACTAGCAGCCAGGACATTTGACTCACATTCCATTTTGTTGTTCATTTGAGCTGTACTCAAGACTCCTAGTATCCCCCTTAATAAGCCCTATAGTAGTCCCCTATATAATCCCCTATATAACCCCCCTTTAAGGAGTTTAGAGAATGGCTCATTTGAATCTCCCTTCTTGCAACCTATCAAAACCTTCTCATCGTGGCCTCGCGGCCCGTCTTCCCTCTGCCACGCGCGAAGCAAACTCCCATGTTGCAGGCAGCTGCCTCACCAGCTCGGGTTTAGCTCTATATAGGGGTTATACAGGGGTTATATAGGGACAATGGAAAAGAAAATGGAAACTACTACAATACAATAGGGTATATATATTAGGGGTTATGTAAGCTCTAAGGGATTTAGAACCCCAGTAGAAATTATAATCTCAGCTAAATATAAGGATTGTTGGTAATTAACAGAAATTAACAAGTATTTTCAAGGCACTTTGCACTCTTGTGCGGGGCATTTCCGTTTTGAGAAAGGCCCCCGTGCGGATGCAGCAAAACCTTCCGGGCAATCTAAACCCTAAACCCATGGGTCCCTGAACCTCGTCTGGCTGAGTTGAAAGCGCAGGCCAGGGTTCTAAAAGCTAACTTTTCTGGGTTGCTGTTAAGGAACTTAATTCAAGTTACCGTAATGGATATACATGGTGAATAATAGGGTTTTCCCAATATAGTGACTTACATTAAGTTCCTTAACAGCAACCCAGTTCTTTCCTCCTCGGGGAACAGAACGTCTGCTCCCGTCGAGCGGCTGTATTGAAGTTGAGCGGCCGTAGTGAAATTGCGCTTTCCATTTTTGAGTGCAGCATGTCACATTAAGCAAAATCTGGAAAGGTCGATGAAAGCTCCACCTTGTCCTTATGTGATCTGAGTAGGGCTTACGGTTTAGGGTTAGAGTGCAGGGTTTAGGATTAAGGGTTTAGAGTTTAGAGCATAGGGTTTAGGGTTAACCAAACCTCCACTCAACTGCGGCCACCTCGGCCTGCTGGCATCTTCGGATCGCAGCTCCATCTCTTGGCTGCGAGAGCCTGGCAGTGAGCGACTGCAGGCGAAGATTAGGGTGTGGGGTTTAGGGTTTAGGGTTTGGGTTTTAGGGTTGGGTTTGGGGTTTAGGGTTTGGGGTTTAGGGTTTGGGGTTTAGGGTTTAAGATTTGGGGTTTGGGGTTTAGGGTTTAAGGTTTGGGGTTCAGGGGTCAGGGTTTGGGGTTTAGGGTTTAGGATTTAGATGGGTCTAGGGTTTAGGGAACCGACCAACCGCAGTCATGATGATCAGATTGCAGGTCATCTTCATCACATGGAAAAGCCCGGGGGCTTTTCAATCATGTATGAGCCATAATCTTAGTATCCATTATGGTAGTCACTTATACAATGCCATTATACAAACCCCTTTAAGGAGTTTAGATTATGGCTCACATAGTACTACTACTAAAATAAATTTCGAATAGCTGAAAAATGCAGAAAGCAGGTCTTCCTGACAACTCGAACGGGCCCTTTGTATAATATGGTAGTTTGCCTAGAGAAGGGGACCCCAATATAGACCCCCAAATTCTATAGTCCTTCCTATTGGGACCCCCAAAAAGGTACCCCTAGTCTTGGGAATCCCTTTTCTATAGAACACTAACTTCACACAGCTACGGTGCAATATTTCAGGCCCTCCCTCGCGGGCCTCGACTTCTGAAACACCCACCCAAAGCCCTAAACCCTGAACCCTCTAAACCCTCAACCCCAAAACCCTGAACCCTAAGGCCCTAAACCCACCCTAAACCGTGAAACCCTAAACCCCAAAACACTAAACCCCTAAACCCACCCTCAACCCTGAAAGCCCTAAACGGTTCTGGCCTCGACCTCTGAAACCCTGTTCAAGTCGCCCGGGGCGGGCTTGGGTGAATCTAGCCAGCGCGAGCCCGGCTGCGGAAGAGCTTGGGGTTTACGGTTTAGGGTTTGAAGGTTTTAGGGTCTAGGATATAGGGTTGAAGGGGTTGGGGGTTTAGCGTTTAGGCGTTTAGACTTTGGGATTTAGAGTCTGAGGGTTTAGGGTGCCAATTGGATTTGAGGGCTTAGGCTGGTCAAGGGTCTAGGGCTTCCCTCTCCGCGTCTCCGGATAGATAACTCAGTGGTTCATCTGATGTCTCTGTAATCACAAGGCAAAGCTCAGCAGAGGGTTGTTCTTATCGTCGCAACATCACCTACAAACCTTCGTAGCTTGTCGAATGAGACTGTAGCGAGGAAGTTGTCAATAGACAGCGCATCGTAACCGCCCTATGAAACTTTAGCCCCTCTGCCATGGTGGTGTATTTGTGCACCTGTTGACTATCTTGCAAGTGACCGTGCACTTTTTGGCGCTCTGGGATATGGTTGTCGCAGGTCACATAGCAGTGTAAGGGCCAGTGAGAAGCATGTCTGCCCACCGCCCCACTGCTTTCCCCCATGGAGTCTCAGACCATGAAGCTTCAGTGAGGTTGAGGGGTCAGTGGTTGCTGCAGGCTCCTGCCTCATGGTTGATGCTGGGACTGGGGCAGCTTCATGGTCATAGTGCTCCTCTGCATGACTGGACTGCGCGACGGGCGTAGCCACGCACCACCACTGCAGCTGACAGTGCAGTCATCACCTACCGCTGCGCAAAATATTTCCTACCTCCTCTTACCTTTGGTTGGCTAGGAATGAAGGAATGGATCCTTATAGTAGTCCCTATATAGTTCATTATAGTAGTTTCCCTTTTCTTTTCCATTCCTTGATTCCCAGCTAGCCAAAGGTCAGCTTACTGCTGAGCTGCTTCTTCTGCAGGTTGCTGGGACAGCGGCCAAGCATAAGTCTGACCCCCAGAAACCTTCGCGAAGAGGGCCAAGCCAAGCGCGATACGACTGCACTGGGCAAGCATTAGCCATGACTCATTGGGTCCTGCCCCCACCCATGAACAGTCCATAAGAAGGGTCATATTAAGGGCTGTATTCAGTATACTACAAATATTATCCAACTGTTAATGAGTGGGGGCAATACCCAAATGACTCATTAACAGATGCGCCACACGCCGGACACTTCTCCAGTGGCCGGAAAACCAGATGTTCAGCTACCTGGCCAACAGAGCAAAGCGAAGCTGCTCATGTGCACTGCCAGATCCCCTGGCCTAAGTTCATCATGCGGAACCAGTGCTTTCTACCGAAAAATCCTGCATGACCTGTTCCAAACTGCTCAAACAACCAGAAGCAGCATCTGGGTAGTCTGGGTAGCGCAAGTAACCTTCAACTCGCCGTCCCCAGAGTAACAAGCCCGACGGTTCTCCTGAAGAGGAACTGAATGTTCTCAGCACGGAGTCGCTGCAAACCTGGCCAAATGAAAAAGGTCTTTTAGGTTTTAGTTTTTTTGTTTTTTAATAGATATGCCGCCTTGTCTCCAAGGACGGAAGTTCAGGGTTTAGAGTTTGGGG